CAGCAAGAGGTCAATCTCTCCCCAGTGAAGTCGCCATTTTTCTGTAGCGGTAGAAATGTGCAAGACTAAGCCATTGGATTGGCTAGACTTTATACAAATCAAAATCAAAATCGCCACCGCGCTTTATTGTTTCCAAAGGAATGGGAAAAGAGCGAATAACCTAAAAAGAGGGGGAAAGATTCAAGGTAAGGGGGTTGGTTATGCAAAGGGAAGGTATTAGCACCCTAAACATCTACGGTACTCCACAGGAACCTCTTTGAAAATCTGTATATTTTGGCTATAAAAATGCTTTGTATATAAAATGGATGGTGGAGGTGAGAAAATAAATATTTTTATGATTTTTTCACCCGCCGCGGTTGTGAACCTTTAGTGCCTACGTACCACCTTTCGTGCAATAGGGGATCAGGGTACACGTAGTTCCTCTTTTAAAAATTTGAAACAAAAGTATGTTGGTTGATTTTATGAGATAAGACATCATCGCAATTGTCCGTGTGAAAAACATACTTACTACCCACAATCATGAGAAAGGAGAATTTGCATCATCTCAAAGTGGAGGATATGGCTTGGATTTTAACATCAACAATGCCTCACTAAACACCCAAGTGGAAAATATCTCACTTCACTACATATTGTAGAAGTATAGTTGTTTTCATCACTACAAGGATTGACAAGAGTCTAATCTTTTGAGAAAAGTTTAAAGATAAAAGCCAAAGTGGCAAAATGGTTTGAAATGAGATTGATTGACTTTTAGTCTTCTCACAAAAAAAGGTCAAGGTATTATTAAATTGATTGAAATTTATTTATGAAAATGTTTTGAAAATGCATGGACCTAAGTCCAAGTTTATTATGAAAATGTTTCAAGTTTCGAAACAAGAAGAGTTTTTTAAAAGGAGAGAGAAGATTTTTGAAATTAAAGAAGATGGGAGGAGAAGAAGAGGCTATCTTAAAGCATAAGGTAAAAGCTAGGGATAAGAACCATCTAACCAATAAGAAGCCAATACTTGACATTATGAGTCAATATAGAATTCACATTCTTCAGATTGAAACCAAGCAAGCAAAGATACTAGACCTCTTGAGAGAACCAAACTTCAAGTGTCTTAAGTCTTCGCAAAAATTGGGCAGAGTAACGGCTGTATACGGGTGAATTCCAGATTACAAAAAAAGATCGTAATCTCAATAACCTTCACATAAAACAAACAAACAACCCAATGTCTTGAGGTAAACCTCAAGAACTCCAGACAAAATATCAAATAAAGTCACAAAGTCTCCAAGATAGGCCAAGATCTCTAATCCTAAGTCCAAGAAATCCATCACTCAATAATGCAAAGGATAGTAACCATGTAGTCCAAGTATCATTAATGATTTTTATGGTTCATGTTGATTATTAGGTGTCTTTAAAAAGAAAGAAAAGCTCAAGTGAGCAAAATAAAAATGACATAAAAGTAAATGCTCAAGTGAGCAAAGATGAAAATAGCATGAAATGTAAATGGTACATAAAGTAAATGGTACATAAAGCATAAAAAATAAAAGCATAAAGTAAAGTTAATTGTTAGTAATTAGTGGTTAGTTGGATGACCATCTTGAAACTTGCATTTGGAACTCATTAGAGGATTGGTAGAACCAAAGCCTCCACACAACAAGTTGCATTTGCTTTTTGTCAATTATATCATCCATTTTGGAATTCTCACAAGGCAACATGTAATGATCAACGATGTTTAAGTGATCCGCGTTGACCAAAGGTGTTGTAGATCCATTAGAGGATTGGTAGAACCAAAGCCTCCACACAATGAATCTCAAGGTTATTGGATCAAAGAGATCAAATTAACATACTTGGGCTTGCAATTATAAGTTTGAGCCACAAATGATCATTTATTCGAATCGGGACAAAATTTAGCGCTATGTTAAGCAATCGTAAGTGGACTTATGTAGAAGTCACACCTATTTTGAGGCCGGTCAATAGCAATATATGTACTTCATGTTTGGATAAATGATATAGAGATCACCATCCCTTAACATGTAGCACAATTAAAAAGAAAGGGATAAGATGAAGAGGGAGGGGAATGATAAGCTAATTTGGATCACCATTTCAAAATTCTTTCATCTTTAAATTCAACCACTCCTCTAGATGGATTAAAGCACTAAACATATCATTAATCAAAAGCACCAAAAATGAATTAAATAATTCACTCTTAGGTAGATTTGAATTGATGAATATTTATCCAACTTCATCTACATCACAAAGTCCATTGAGTTTAAAGACAAATTGGACATTTAAAATTGCAATCCAAACCAACAATCAAAAGGAGTGAGTAGAAAAAGCATTTTGGATCAAAGAACAAGGCAAAAAGTGCATTCTGTCCTGGTGTAAATCGATTGCACTATTATGTAAATCGATTTACACAGTACAATTTTCTAAAAATTGTGCAAAATTGCTTCTGTGCAATCGATTGCACTACAGTGCAAATCGATTGCACACAGTAACAGCAGCAAAAACAACATTTTAAAAGGGCAATTTCTTGTTCAAACTTTCCATCAAATACCTTATGATCATGGATCCACTTGAGCACGAAAATTCCATCAAATTATGAGAAAATAACACCATTAAAATCACAAAATAATGCTCAAAGAATCAATCTCAAAGATCACCAAGAGATCACATTGTGAAAGATGAATTATCCAACTTACCAAAGGTAGATCTAGAGAATTATCAAAACAACTTCAAGAATTTGCTTCAATTCAACCACAAGAATCAATTGACCAAGCTTGGATATAGAGAATTGATGGAGAAAAAGTGTTTGGATGAAGGTTGAGCTCAAAGATTAGTAAGCTTCAATGCAAAGCTTACTAACTTTTTGAAAATGGAGCTTTGAGTGAATTTGGTAGATGGAGAGAATTGAGAGATTTTTTAGCAAGGTAGATTTGGCTATCAAAAGCTTGAAATTTGAATGAAATGAGAGCTCTATTTATAGAGTTTTAGGATTGAGATTAGTGGTAATTTGGTAATTGATTCTTGGAGCCAAAATTTGAATTAATGATAACTCTTTCAAAAATTAGAGCCAAAATTTGAATTAATGATAATTCTTTCAAATATTAGAGCCAAAATTTGAATTAATGATAATTCTTTTTAAAAATGAAAGATTGACACTAAAATTTGAATTAATGATACATCTTTCAAAAGTGAAGGAAAATTGGAGACAAAATTTGACAAGTTTAAAATGCTGACTTTTTTTTTAATTTTCACGCTGTGCAATCGATTACACTACAGTGCAAATCGATTGCACAATGTATTTTTTTCAAAAATGGCGCAAAATACACTATGTGCAATCGATTGCACTTTAAGAGCAATCGATTGCATCAGTGAAAAAAATGAAAATTTTTAATTCTTTTTCTTTGCAAATAGAGATTTTAGGAAAATAATACCATAAATCCTTATTTGTCAGATGCTTCGACTTGGTACCTACAAAACAAAAATATACAAAGACAAAGACAAATATTTTTTGTATTTTGATTAGAAGTTAGTCAACAACACATATACAAAATACACAACCAAGGTGCTTGGAGATTCCTAAAGAGCAAACTTAAAGATAGGAAAAAAGAGGAAGAACCAACTCTAATGTGATCTTGTTATGATCAAGTTGATATGATATGATAGAGGAATCTTAGGGGCAAAAATTAGGGTACAACAGCTGCCCTTATTTAAGTGTCTTCTATCCGGAGATACGAAGGTTCCAAATCTTCATGTCAACGCGATTGAAGATACTTAAATATAAAACAAGCCATATTTTTGTCTCTAAGATAGTTAAAGAATTGAAAGTCATTCACATTTAGGTTTTTATTTGTCTTTGCAAAATCGGCATGGTAGAAGATATTTGAGTGATTGAAAACTCCGCTATCAGAAGGTTTGGTTGGAATTAATCACCTCTTAAATTTCTGTGAATCTCTAAAAGGTAGATGATTGAAAAAATTTAATGGTGTGTTTTGGTTTGACACATTATGGAGCATTTGGCTGATAAGGAATGAAATCATTTTTTAAGGTCTTGAAAGAGATGTGTCTCAGGCGGTGGATTGTATAAAAACATTTACGTAGACGTGATATAGTTGTCATAATAGTTCTATGATGCAAGCTACCTTTTCTATTTGGCATGCTAACTATCTTTGTTTAGTTTTCTTTTTTATGTTTGCATGTATAATATGAGAAAAGTCCTAGTTGTAAATGTTTACTACTTATGAAAATATTATAAATAATAATGTTCGTAAAAATATGTTGAAAATTTAGAAGGTGTAACCACACTATGTGCTTATTATCGTTCATGTGTTTTACACTGCGCATGGATTTTAGCCACGAGTTTTTTGGCCTAGAGATTAATAGCTCAAAAATACTTTGGCCATTACACTGTTTATCAAGAAAAATTTACAAATATTTATTGTGAGTTGAGTATCTTTTATTCTCTGATCAATAAAATTTTGGAGAAAATACGTTTATCTCTCCTAAAATTTGTTAAAATGACACTAACACTTTCTTTACTTTTTAAAATGACACTAACATTTTTTTTACTTTCTTTCCGATATCTATTAAAATGAGAATGACACCCCTATAATTTTAATGACAAATAAAAAATTACAAATATAAATAATATTTATTTAAAAATTTTGCTCTTTTATTATAACATTCTGTTGATAAATGTGTTCTTAATAGAAGTCAATCCATAATTTAAAATTAAAGAGGATATGAATGTCTTTTTTAACACCCCAAATTTTGTATCGCTTATAAAAAAAATAAATAAAGAGCGTCTTTAAGACACTTGTTTTTAAAATACTTTGGCCATAATGTATTTTTTAAAATAAAATACATAAATAAAATGTTAACTCTCTCTATGTTGGTCAATTTGCCTTCTCAATCTAACCCCAAATATTTTTTCTAAGAAAAAAATCTATAAAAGAATCCACTAACTCCGTCACTCTCCCACTCATCTTTAACCTATCTCACTAACCGCTCAGAAATGGAGAGAGATGACAAAACTCCACAAGAGCCAGTCTCCTACCACTCCTCTCTCCGTTCAGGTGCCACTTTGCTCTCACGCCGAATGTTCCGTACTTGCCGCAACTTCATCCAACGCCAACCAAGATCTGACCCAGAAATTGCTACTCAACTCGACCGCATGCTCGCAATAATCGATGTCTTGGAGGCCGCGTCACTCCGAGTGGGTCTCGGCAACAATCTTCCTGATCACTATGCCATACTCCAACTCAAACCCTCCGACGACACCACAAACCGCGATTTAGTGCGGCAGCGTTACAAGACTCTTGTTCGCAAGCTTGACCCAAACAAGAACATGTTTCCTTTAGCCGAAGAAGCCCTCATGAAAGTCCGTGAATCCTGGCAAGTTCTCTCTGACCCGGTTCAGTTAGACCGGTTTGAAAAGGAGCTTAAGGGAGAGGCTGAGGTTGTTTCACCGGCTTCGTTTTGGACTATGTGTCCTTATTGCTGGTATTTGCATGAGTATGAGAAGAAATACGAAGATTTTACTCTTCGATGTGGGAACTGTCAGAGAACCTTTCACGGATCTCCGGTGAAGCCGCCGGAACCGGAGTCGATGGTGGAGGGAAAAGAACAGTACTATTGCTATCACATGAGTTTGCCCTTGAGGTATCCCGTGGATGAAAATTGTAGCTTTGAAATTGGGGGTAATGGGGGTAGGAAGATGAGGATAAAGACTGTGGCTAATAGGTCTAAAGTGAAAGGGTTTGTTGTTCCGGATAGTGAATCTGAATCGGATCCTGAAATGGAAGTGGAGCTGTGAAAACCCTAATTTTGAGTTTAGTTTGGGGAAAATGGGAACTTGTTGGTGAAGTTGTTTATTACTAGTATGTGTTTTTGTGTTCTAGAAAAAGAGGTATGCTTTGCTTGTGTGATAGAGATTTTAGCAAAAGCAATTCCTTTCTAACTTGTTGTAATCTTGTACAGAAGGACTAGTTGAGTGGATAATTTATGTTTCACTTTTGAGTAAATGAAGAGGTTGCAACTCTTCTCTGTCAAATTGGTTATTTTCTTCAGTTTGTTTATGATTATTGTTTGATGTTGGTTTAGCTTGATGATGCATAAAAGCTTTGTTTTTTAATTGCTCATTGCTCGGTCTAAGATTCATAAATATGGGTATGAACTCTGCTGAATTTATTTCTTCAATTTGAATGAGTTAACAGTTCAACGACAAAATTTGATCAGGTTGTTCAAGCATAGACATGAAATTTTGAGTTGATTATGTGATTTTGTAATGAACAATTTAGGTATTGCTTTTGAGACTTTTTGTTATATTGTATTTGATGAGTCTTACTTGAATAATTTGCTACACCCGGCCCACTCCATATACAAGCATGACTGCAAGTTTAGTATCATCATTAGGAAGGAAATTAGTCAAATTGTCTTGCATATGTTGTTGCTGCTGGTTTTTTTGTGTGCTTACATGATGTCTTTATTTTCTGGCTGACTTGTCATCAAATATGTGCTCTCTAGATGTGTAATTTGTGGGCTTGATGTTTGGTTGGCTCATGCTTGTATGTGCTAATATGAGATATATGATGTGTTGCTTGCATGTTTGTGCAGTAGGTGGTGCCAAGAGGGGGATAAGATTAGCTACCCAGAATAAGAATTTTGGGTTGTGTTGGGTGTGGTTATGATGATTTACCCTGTAGGTTCCCTTGATTGTGGGAGTCAAATTTTATTTTTGTATTGAGAGTTTGTGTTCTTGGCTTAATCTTTACACCTCTTTCCGTGTGTTGTGTTATCAAAAAGAGTTAATTATGGTGAGATAGTTGATAGTGTGAGGATGATTAGCAATTCTATATCACTAGTAGTAACTTCTAATTATAGATAAGTTTGGAAAAGATGGATTGCGGAAACTGCTAGATATTACTTCTGAATTTTATTGAAAAAAAAAATTAGAAATGGAAGGGATTGAGAATTTTTTTTACAATAACTATGTATTGAAAAAAAAACATAAATAATCATGTTTCGAAGAAAATTACGCAAATGACTATGTTTTCGAATATATATATTTATGGTGGCGTCAATTGATTTGGCGCATGCAGTCACCATTTGACTTTAGACGCCATTTCACTTGACGCATACACTCCTTGTAATCCATGTGAGATGGCGCATAACTATAGTATGGGGAGGAGGCGCCATCTGGGATGACTATTACATGCAATTGTGTTTTCTATAAATAAAACACTCATTTCTCTATCATTCTTTACACTTTATCACTTTCTCTTCTCATTTTCTCTCTTTATTTTGCATCATGACATCTCTCATGATTTTCATCAAAGATGGATACGTTATTTTCTCTCTCACCAAACCTCCAATGAAAAATGAAATTTTGGCACATTCATTCCATAGAGTGTCTGAAGAGAGAGTTGAAGTGATGGCTAGAGGGAGGCATCGAAGTTGGGGAACAAATTAGAAGGATTTAGAGAAGAAGAACAACCACCTCACTTGCAACTAGAAGACCTCAATCTTTGTTGGAGGAAGTCAAAACAGACACGGACGTAATGGTGATGATGCACGGATCCGATGAAATTGTCTTGACGGTTGTAATTTCTTAGATATTTTATCGTGTTGTTGATGTTATATTTACATGTTTTATTTGTTGTTGTTTTAGTCGTGATGTATTTTTATTTGTTGTTTGTGTACGGTTTGTTGTAACAGATGCTTTTAATGAAAAAAGGCTCTGATATTAAAAAAGTACAGATAGTTTGCATACAATATTTATGTTGCCGATCTAGTAGCACAAGTGTGACAATTTTTTCGATTGTGTCCGGCCTGACGGTATAAACCATACTTTCTTTCTAACTTGTCAAGATCGCTGCTTTTGGGACAACCCTTTTTATTTCTTCGTATTTGGTTGTTGTGCCAAAGTATTTCCTCTTCGTATGCAGGTCAATAATCAGGTTTCACTATCACTGGAAAGTCATTGTTATATATGTTGAGCAAGGTCTCGAACTTGTAAATGGGAGATATAAGTAGTAATGCATCTTGATGAGTATGCGTACATGCCGCAATGACATTAGAGCAAGACATACGAAAGACTTGAAACTTTCTACAATCACACTAACGAGATGGTAGTATAACCCTATTCTCTTGTCTTGGTAGTCCCTCGTTGTGGTCGATTGTCTCTTTGACAATGAAGTTATGGTTATGTCGGTCAAACCATGTAACAAGATAGTGCTGGCTTTGGCACCCTCTGCCTTGATAAATTTCAGGCAACTTTCACTCCACAGTTATCCCGATTGTAACACCGCGTACCACATTTCACCTCTTTTTGCAACAACGATGCCATCCTAAAAAATATGTTGATTTCACCAAAGCGATTACTGAGAGGTTTCATATGCCTTTGAATAGATTGTTCATTGATTCAACAAGATTTGTTGTCATGTGGCCCCATCATTGTCCATTGTCGTATGACCTTGTCCATTGCTCCACTAGAATATTATTAATCTACCTACCTGCATCCAGGTTTGATAATGTGATCTCGTTGTGATAGTGTTTGAATGAGGGTTGTGTTAATGCATACCCCGCGTTCATTACTATTTTTTTAAGAGCCTTGTCTTTGATCTCCCTCGTGAAATTTTGAATGACATGACTAATGCAGTAGACATGCGTAAAGGGGGGGGGGGGGGTCATTCCAACCATTTACAGGATTATTGTATGCATTCTCAATAGATACATGTCTGCCGGAGATCAAACAAAGATTAGGTTGCGGAGCCACATGTGTTCGGAGATTCTTGAGAAAGAAACTCCAAGCCCCACCAGTCTCGCCCTCGACTAGATCAAATACAAATAGAAAAATGTTATTGTTGCCATCTTGTTCAACTGCCTTCAGAAAGCGTGCCTTGGTATTTCCCTTACAACCATGTTCCATCTATCTAGAAAATAGGTTTGCATGACGCAAACCGTGTGATGCAAGGTTGAAAAGCCCAGAATATTCGACTGAATATTCCATTCATGCTGACAGAAGTATCGCCTGAGGCATACGCTGATAATGTTTCCATAATATAAACAGTTTCAGAGACATGCGTCTGAAGTGCATGCATGTAGCGCGACAGTTCTTTATATGACTCCTCCTAGTTTTCATATACCTTTTCAATCGCCTTTGTCTTTGCTAACCAAGATTTTCTGTATGACGGAGTATAATTGTATACCGCAGTGATGTGAGAGATTATGGTTTTCACCTTCACTGACGGATCATTATTGATGAGTGGTAGGATTTCCTGACATATTAGATCATAACTTAATTTAAGATGATCTTGTGATTGAGTAGAATTAATACACGTGTGGGTGGATATAGAACCTATCACCCAACAACCACTTCTTAACTTGTATGATGCAGTGAGTCTGAATATACAATTTGTGTGAATACACTTGAGTTTGTACCTTTTTGGATTTACCCGATCAACCCTAAAGTCGACAGAGTTTATCATGTGAAACTTTTTTATAGCTCGCATGCAATCTTCTCTTGAGCGAAATTTGTCGTTCTCTTTTATATTTTCATCTGGCTGTATATACAGGTTGAAAAAACATCCGATGACGGTTCATCTTCGGTCATGTTGAGTCGGACCAGTTAATCATTCCATATCTAGAATATGTCGGTTTTGGAAATGTTATAAAAATCTCAAACTGCACGATTGATTCAAAATTTATACTTGCAATGTTAGAAATATGGAGACCTGAGACACACATATTTCATCTACCAATAGGTGAATGTACCATCACTCTAAAGGATGTGTACATGTTATTAGACCTCTCTATCAAAGGTAAGGCTGTGAATGGGTCGGTTCAACAATCCAATTCTCTATATGAGACATTGTTGGGCAAAGATATGGTGGAAGCAACTGGTGTTAGAGGCCAAGGTATATTACTAACTGTTCTTAGAAAGCATTACGAGACTCTTGAGTTGAATGAAAATTCGATTGAGAAAGAAGTAACAATTAAAGTTAGAAATTATATTATGATACTGCTTGGAAGCCTGTTATTCCCCGAAAGTACAGGGAATACTGTAAATTTTATGTATTTAAGATTTCTTAGGAGATTTGAGAATACAAGAAAGTATAGCTGGGGTTCTGCTGTTTTAGTCCATTTATACAGTTCATTATGTAAGGACGCATCAAAAGATAAATTTACTTTTTATGGATGCGCTTTCTTGCTTCAAGCATGGGATTAGTGGAGAATGAAGTCCTTTAACCCCGTCAACAATACTGCATTCACTTTCCCCTACGCAACAAAGTAAGTCAACATGTTCAATAATTTTTTATTCATCTCTTTGCCAAATATATGTAAAAATATTAATTTTTTTCATTCTTTTAGGTACTGTGTAAGGGGTATGGATTATAGAAAAAATCCAAGATTCAATATCACTCTATATCGTAATCTTTTGGATCACCTTGGCCCGAATGACGTATGTAATACCAATAGGTGAATGTACCATCACTCTAGAGGATGTGTACATGTTATCTTTTTAATGCGACAATGACAATGAATATAATAATGAGCTATTTTAAAAATATTGCACTGATAATGGCCTTGCTTTTCATTTATCTTGTCCTCACACATCCTCACAAAATGGAAAAGCAGAGCGCAAAATAAGAACCATTAATAATATGACACACACTATGCTAGCTCATTCTTTTGTTCCCCCATCATTTTGGTATCATGCTCTTCACATGGTCACTTATCTTTTAAACATTCTCCCTTGTCAAACACTTCAAAATCAGTCACTGACACACCTCTTATATCAATGATATCCCACCT